ATTAGTTTTGTTAAATAATGACAGGGGTTATTTAAGCTTTGGACATTGAGAAGGGGGGGGAGAAAAAAAGGGGTTGGGGGGGGGAAAAAGGAGGTTTTTGTAAAAGAGGGCTTGGGGGAAGGAGTGGAGACAAGGGTTTTTTTTTTTGACGTCTATTGGAATGTGAGAAGGTAACATTTTTGAAAGGTTCAGGAAAACTGGTTAGTGAAACTTGTCCCGGGGTGGGAGTACAGTGGCTGCACCTGAAGGAGGAGTGGGGTTTCGCAGTTTGGAGGGGCTTAAGTTTTAATTTGGTGTGCCTTTGGCAAGACAAAAATGGGGTGAGTGATGCAAAAGTGTTTTTCTTTTTTTGGTAAACCCCAACCCCGTGCCTTTTAAAATACAAAAAGCTCCCTATCATAGACCCCTAGAAGTGAAAAAACAGTCTATTACAACAAAATTCTGTCTAGCCCGAAAGATATAAATAATTTTGCTGTTTAGTGGGCGATCAAATGGTTGGTTTTTCTGTCCCGTTTTGGCCCTGTTGGAGGTAATGTAAAAAACAAGTCGAGGGTTACATTTTTGGTTTTGTTAAAGAATTCTTGTCAAGAAAAGTACATTGTGTATAAGAAAAATTTTTCCAAAAAGGGGAAAAAAGTAAACTGCAGACCCTTTAGTAGTTTGTAGGAGAAGACCTCTAAGTGGATGGTGAATCTCGGGGGAGAACATTTTTTCCCTTTTGAGTTTTTTTTTTTTTTTCCAAAAAAAAAAAATAAGATGGAGGGTTGGGAAATTGAGTTTTTCTGAATTGGACTTTGGGGTATTTTGAAATTTGCACCCGGTTATAAGGAAATTTTTTTTTTTTATCTTAAGTACAGATATGTTTCAGAAAAGGGAGTCACTTTGTTGAGAATCCTATTTTACCCCTTTGACACATTTTCTTTTAAATATGGCAAAATACATTTAACGTAAATTTTAAAAAGTTGGGTTACCATACTGGGGAAATTTACTTTTTGCTTTATTTTTTTCCCCCCATTCTTTCCGGTTTTTTCTCATCAGAAAATAGGTGTGGGTTTTTTTGCTTTTTCATGGTTTTTGCTATGGTCTTTGTTGAAAGTTCTGGATAAGTGGCTTGCTGGTTGAATTGTACAAGAGAAATATTTTTAGGAAGACATGGTAAATCCTCTGGGTTCCAGTGTCTTTCTCCACTTGTTCTTTGACAAGGAAAGGTGGTACGAACATCTGCTCCCCCATACTCCCTGGTCTTTTTTTTTAACACGTCCCTCCCGCAAGTTAATACTGAATTGTTATTGTCTCTATTCATACACCTTGCTCTCTCTTTGGAATTTTTCCAATGTGAACCTTCCCAAACATTCAAATTTAAAGGTTTTTCAAGGGAAAATTGAAAAAATTTCTAAGGTTTCAGCTTGCAGTCTGGCTATAAAACCCAAATGAAGTAGTTATTATTACTTACCGGAAATGAGAATACTATGTGAAAAGAAGGGAAATTTTTAACTTATACTGCTGCTGGATGATTAAGCCCTTATACTTAAAAAAATCCTTTGGGCCCTCTTTCCAACCCTTCCAAGGACATCCCTGAGACCTTGCATTCACCCCAATTTATGCATCTTTATAAATATCCAGCTTTCCCTTTTTAAATGACCAGAATTTTTATTACGTTTTTATTTTTTTAGGAACAATAAAAATAAACATTTCAGAATACTAAGTTATAAATTTAAAAACAGGTACCAAGGGTACCGTACTGAAGTGGTCATGATTTAAAAATTTAAAAAAAATTTTCCTAAACCTTCAAAGTAATAATTATGAGAAAATCTTTAAAGAGTGAAATGACAGACAGCTCGAGGAAAAAAAAAAGGATTTAAAGTGACAAAACATGCTAAGCTTTTTTTTATCTAATCTATACTTACCATTTTTTTTCTAACTTTACAGAATTTTTTTTCTCTAAACCCTCCAAAATAACAATTTTGAAGAAATTTTTTAAAGAGTGGATTGTAGACATCTTTAGAAAAAATGTGGTAATGAGACGTCGTTGCCCCGCATTTTTCACCGCGAAATGATTTTAAAAAGTCAATTTAAGCAGAATTTGTTTTCAGTTAAATTTTTAACATACTGGGATATAAAATAAGTAATTAGTTGATTAAAATGTTTATAATTCAAATGTGTGCAATAGTAGAGGGGAAAAATGTGTCAAGGGAAAACATTGCTAAGTTAATAAATCTGCTTATGCAGCATTAAAAACGGGTGAAAGAATTAACAAAAAGACTAAACATAGAAAAAAAATGAAAAAAGAAAGATTTAAGAGGAGAACCAGTTCATGCATTTTAATTTGCAATGGAAATAATACAAATAAAACACCTACAAATGTAGATTTTTTTCTCACAAACATAAGGTCTTCAATTTTCCTTTTTTTGTCAGCTGTTTGTCATTTAGTGAGTAGTTCCCCTACTTCCTGTTGGGAAATGCTAAAGATATACACTTTTTTAACAAAATTCCCAAAAGGCCTGATAGGAACCCTTGCCATAACACTTGCCTCCGTGATTTTTTAGCAGTGCAATGTTATATTTTTAATCATACAAAATATTACAAAAAAGTGCTGTGTGTAATACTGAAAAAAATTTTTTTTAAGGGGGAGCAATCATGCCTTCTCTTTAAGGTTTTTCAGTATGGAAGTTGTCTGGGGGAAAAGGAACCAAAAGACCCCAGGTAATTATGTCAGTTAACATTTCGTCAAAGAACATATAAGGGAAATGTTGAAAGTAAAGTGACAGGGTCATAAGGGAAATTTTTTTAAAAAAGGGGAAATAGTGCCAAAAGGTACTGAAATGGCTTTGCCTCTTTAGTTTAAAGTATTGACGTACGTTTCCCCGGTCGGGGCAAGCAATATCGGTTTGGACAGAATAAAAATTATTTACCCCCCGAAAAAACCAAAAAAAAGTAAAAAAATTTAGGGGAAACCCCCAAAAAGTCCAAATTTTTTATGCTTAAAGGGGAGGATAAGATAGTGAAGTGCATAGGGAAAGCTCGGGGCCGGGTTTTAAAAATTTGCCGCTGCCAAAAAAAGTAGGATGAGAGAGACAGGAAAGTGCAAAATAACCCTAAAAAAACACCATAAGAGAACTTTGATTAACATCCGGGCCCCAGCAATTCAACCTCTTAGCAGAACATATTATTATTATGATCAAAACCAAGTGCTAAACCCACAAGGGTCATACAGCACTTCTCCAGAAAATATCAAAATCACTGATGGGACATGTGAAGAAGTCTTCAAGAGGAAACTGGACAGATATCTTCATTAAGTGCCAGATCAACAAGGCTGGGATAGATTTGTGGGCTAGCCCCACTCCACAAAGGGGGCAGTAAAGCAACAGCAAAGAACTACAGACCAATAGCACTAACATCCCATATCATAAAAAAATTTGAAAGGGTCCTAAGAAGCAAGATCACCACCCATCTAGAAACCCATCAGTTACACAACCCAGGGCAACATGGGTTTAGAACAGGTCACTCCCGTCTGTCTCAACTATTGGATCACTACGACAAGGTCCTAAATGCACTAAAGACAAAAAGAAGCAGATGTAAAATATACAGACTTTTGCAAAAGCCTTCGACAAGTGTGACCATGGCTAATACGCACAAAATGCGTGTTTAAAGGAATAACAGAAAAGCGGTCGATGGATCTATAATTTCCCACTAACAGAACCACAGAGAGTGTCGTCAACAGATTAAAGTCCGAGCAGCTATGTGAAAAGCTCTGTTCCACAAGGCCAGTACTCGCTCCCATCTTGTACCTCACTCATATCCGACATAGACAAGATGTCACCACAGCACCGTGTTTTTCCTTTGCAGATGACACCCGAAATTCTGCATGACAGTGTCTTCCATTGCAGACACTGCAAGGCTCCAGGCGACATCAACCAAATCTTCAGTGGGCTGCAGAAAACAATATGAAGTTCAACGATGAGAAATTTCAATTACTACCAGATATGGTAAACATGAGGAAATTAAATCTTCATCAGAGTACAAAACAAATTCTGGCCACAAAAAAGAGGCCGAAACACCCAACGTCAAAGACCTGGGAGTGATCATGTCTGAGGATCTCACCTTCAAGGACCATAACATTGTATCAATCGCATCTGCTAGAAAATGACAGGATGATAATGAGAACCTTCAAAACTAGGGAGGCCAAGCCCCTGATGACACTCTTCAGGTCACTTGTTCTATCTAGGCTGGAATATTGCTGCACACTAACAGCACCTTTCAAGGCAGGGAAATTGCCGACCTAGAAAATGTACAGAAAAACTTTCACAGCGCGCATAACGGAGATAAAACGCCTCAATTACTGGAGCGCTTGAGGTTCCTAAACCCGTATTCCCTGGAATGCAGGGGGGAGAGATACAGGGTTATATACACCTAGTGCCAACTCACACGAAAATCACTCACTACGAAAGCAAAAGACTTGGCAGACGATTTCACCAAACCCCCCAATGAAAAGCAGGGGTGTCACTAGCACGTTAAGAGACCATACAATAAGTGTCAGGGGCCCGAGACTGTTCAGCTGCCTCCCAGCACACATAAGGGGGATTACCAACAGACCCCTGGCAGTCTTCAAGCTGGCACTGGACAAGCACCTAAAGTCAGTTCCTGATCAGCCGGGCTGTGGCTCGTATGTTGGTTTGTGTGCAGCCAGCAGCAACAGCCTGGTTGATCAGACTCTGATCCACCAGGAGGCCTGGTCACAGACCGGGCCGCGGGGGCGTTGACCCCGGAACTCTCTCCAGGTAAACTCCAGGTAGTGTGCCACCAGCAGCAACAGCCTAGTTGACTAGGCAAGCACCTGGCAAACCAGGCCCAAAGCCTGGCACCAGGAGTAGAAAAATTCGAAAATCATCAAAGGTAGTACGTGTACGTGTATTTCAACAAGTCCCCATAGTATTTTTGAACAATTCTGGATGTAATGCAGTAATATAGTACTTCAAGGCCGTTTTATTTCCCTTTCTTAACATACTATAAATTATCTTACATTTCGCCTTTTCATTGTGAGGTTCGCCAATAGACATAGGCACGCGGAAGTCTGATGCTGCTTCTGACTCCAGGATAGCAATCAGTTCATCATCAGTTATGTCTTCAGGGGCACTGATGGCATCTGAGGTGCAAATGTTGATAAACACCTTTTTCTTCTCGTTATCATGGGTCTTCACACAGCAACCTGTAACAAAGGATTTTGCTTTCACAGTATTCTCATGGAAAGGTCAAATAATCAAATGGATTCAAAGTAATTCTTTCATCACTGAACATTAATAAAACTTATAATTGCTGCTACTGATTTGTATTGGTTCTGTAAATTCCCTCAATGTCTACTTGTTCGTCTTCAAATTTCAGAATACTACATGTATACGATACACTACCGAGAATGTGCTATTTTATTTCTGCACAATACTGTACAATTACATTATAAAACAATATATGAATTTACAATTTATAAATGCCCCAAGATACATACATCTGCGCTTAAAAACGGGACACGGCGATGTGGCAGTAATTATAACATATACTTAAGAAAGCTCCTGAAAGGCGGTTCCTGATGTGGAAGGCTCTTGGTCCAAGGAGTTGGATCTCTTCTTCCCTTTCACAGATCGACCCAAATTATTGTAAACCCCTATGGGTTTAGTATTTCCACCTCTTTACAGTGGTACTACTACTAATAATAGTAATAATAAAAGTGAAACTGCATCTGCCTCTTGGACTACTGCATCAGCCTATCCGGACCTCCATCTAGTGCACTAGTGTCCTCAACAGAATTAATGGATGGAAGCGTTGGAAGGCAAAGGTAGTATTTTATAAATGGAGTAGTGGTGGGGGTGTTGTAGGGGTAAAGGAGTGTCTGCTGATGGAGGAGTAAAAGAGGGAGAAGTAATGGAGGGGAAAGGAGTGTTAGATCGAAAAGGAGTACCCCACAGCTCGGTTGGTAGCACATTCAGCTCGCACGGTGAGTGTTCGTGGTTCGATCCCCGGTACGGATGAAAACATTGGGCGTGTTTCCTTAAGACACCTGCTGTCCCTGCGCACCTAGCAACAAAGTAGGTACCTGAGTGTTAGCCGACCGGTGTGGGGTTGCATCCTAGGACCAAAATTAACATATGTTGCCCGAAATGTTCAGCATAACCAGGGGCTTTCTACATACGTCGTTGATGTTAGCTAGGTCTGTATAAGTTGTATCGTATACTTGTAGAAATAAAGAATATTATATTACTGGAAGGGGAATGAGTGTTGAAAGAGGATGAGACAAGGCCGGGAGTAGAAACCCAAATCACTGACTCATGCTACCTTGCATGTGTAAACAGGAAGAACTCGCGTAACCATCGCGTCCACGCTACACACACACCATTTTATAATTACATTTTCCAAACAAGTTTAAGACACAAATAAATATGTTCATTTAGTTTTAAAACATCAATACACTTTTTTTTTTACATACACCCTACTGCACCTTACACATAATCGACAAAACTGATTATCTTATTATCAAATTTGTATGCACCATACAAGTAACTCTGAATATATTCTGGTTATTTAGTTTACTTTAATCCGTGTATTAGGGATACACGGAGCTTCAATGACACGGTGAAGTCATTAAGGTTTAAATACGATACATCAACAAAACCAATCAATGGAAATAAATGGTATAAAATACCGACACGGTGGAAATATAAACACTTAAGCACTATAATGTGATCCTTCATTGACAGTTACCCAAGTTTTTAGACTTCTTCACTCTACTCCGAAGACTGTCACATGCACCTTTCTCCACCAGATCCAGCATTCCCATCCTATATATAGCCACGTATGTTTCACCCAGGTAGATCTGTTTGTGACTTGATAAAGCCCACTGCGTGAGCCAAACGTTATCAATAAAGGATTACATTATACTGCTTAAGTGTTTATATTTCCAAAACCAATCAAACTCCACCAGGAAGGATGAGTTTCAAAAATTCCGTTACGCAGGATGGTTTTCCTGCCATATTCAAACACGATGGTTTTCGTTATATATTCCATTATGTACGATGCTTTTTTCTACCATGTGGTGACCTGTACTTAACTGGAGTGGTGACTATCAAAAACAACTAATTCCGATCACAACCTAATCGAAGTCCAGACGTACATGCATAGGGGTCCTGATCAGCAGAATGCATGTACCTGTGAAGGTGTCTTCACAAAATACAACTTCAACAACAAGAACATCAACTGGGACCAGGTAAACCATGTCCTAAACGAAACATGGGAAAATGTCTTAAATGACATGGATCCAAACCAGTGCCTTGAAAGGATCAACTTCCTGGCAGCCGAAGCATGTTCTAGGCATATTCCCCTAAGAAAGAAGAGCAGGAGTAAACTGGAGAGAGAAAGACGCTCCCTCTAAAGAAGACGACGAAGAGTCACTGAGCTCCTCAGGAGTGCTAGAATATCTGATACACGAAAGGAGGCGCTGACCAGGGAAGTGGAAACTATCGAACTTAAGTCAAATGACTCTTACAGGAACCAGGAGAGGTAGGAGGAGCTTAAAGCTATTTGTGAAATTGAAAGAAATTCAAAATATTTCTTTTCATATGCCAAAAACAAGGCAAATACCACATCTAGTATCGGGCCCTTACTCAGACAGGATGGGACTTGCACAGATGACAACGAGGAAATGAGTGAAATATTGAAATCCCAGTACGACTCTGTGTTTAGTGAACCACTAATCGGTCTGAGGATCGACGACCCAAATGATTTCTTCATGAATGAGCCTCAAAACTCCATAAATGTATGCCAGATTTCCGACATTACCCTAACTCCGATAGATTTCGAAAAAGCCATTGACAACATGCCTATGCACTCAGCCCCGGGCCCAGACTCGTGGAACTCTGTTTTCATTAAGAACTGCAAGAAACCCCTCTCGTGTGCCCTAAGTACACTATGGAGGAGGAGCTTGGACATGGGTGAAATTCCACAGTCAATTCCACAGTAAAACAACGGATATAGCCCCACTCCATAAAGGTGGCAGCAAAGCATTAGCTAAGAACTATAGACCAATAGCTCTGACGTCCCACATCAAAAAAATCTTTGAAAGAGTGCTAAGAAGCAGGATTGCAAATCACCTGGAGTCCCAAAATCTGCACAATCCAGGGCAACATGGGTTCAGGGCAGGTCGCTCCTGCCTCTCACAACTACTGGATCATTATGACATGGCCTTGGATGCACTGGAAGAAAATCAGAATGCAGATGTAATATACACAGACTTTACAAAAGCATTTGACAAATGCGATCATGGCATAATAGCCCATAATACCACACTTTATATACAAAAAAGCGTCACAAGTACTATCACCAATCATTGCAACACTCTTTAACAAATCCATTGAATCCTCCACCTTCCCTACAGTTCTCAAAATAGCAAGGGTCACCCCGATCCATAAAGGAGGAGACCAAACAGAGTTGAATAACTATAGGCCAATATCCAATTTACACCCTCTCTCAAAAATCTTCGAAAAATTAATTCATAAACGAATCCACTCCTACCTCATCTCCCATAACATTCTCAACCCCTGCCAATTTGGCGTAATAGCCCATAAAATGCGTGCTAAAGGAATAGCCTTACCACACTTTATATACAAAAAAGCGTCACAAGTACTATCACCAATCATTGCAACACTCTTTAACAAATCCATTGAATCCTCCACCTTCCCTACAGTTCTCAAAATAGCAAGGGTCACCCCGATCCATAAAGGAGGAGACCAAACAGAGTTGAATAACTATAGGCCAATATCCAATTTACACCCTCTCTCAAAAATCTTCGAAAAATTAATTCATAAACGAATCCACTCCTACCTCATCTCCCATAACATTCTCAACCCCTGCCAATTTGGATTCAGGCCTAATAAAAATACTAATGATGCTATTATACACATGCTAGAACATATATACACTGCAATAGAGGAAAAAGAAGTCCCACTGGGGATCTTCATTGACTTACGTAAAGCTTTTGATACAGTTGACCATGACTTGCTCCACGTAAAATTGTCACACTATGGTATTAGAGGGCACTCCCTCAACTACCTCAAGTCTTACCTCACCAACAGAAGCCAATATGTATACGCAAATGGGGCAAGCTCTTCCGCACAACCAATTACAGTTGGTGTCCCACAGGGAAGTGTCCTTGGTCCTCTTCTCTTTATCCTATACATAAATGACCTACCAAATGCTTCGCAATTACTCAAACCCACACTTTTTGCAGATGACACCACATACGTCTTCTCTCACCCGAGCCCAGTCACGCTAGCAAATACTGTAAACACCGAATTACAGAAAATATCTACCTGGATGAGGACTAACAAACTTACACTAAACATTGACAAAACCTACTTCATTCAGTTTGGTAGCAGAGCTACAGATGTACCTCTTAACATAACGATAAACGGATAACCTATCACAAAGCTAACAGAGGGAAAATTCTTAGGAATCCACCTCGATAATAGACTCAAATTTCATACACATATACAACAAATTTCTAAGAAAATTTCCAAGACTGTAGGCATACTATCGAAGATACGGTACTATGTTTCACAGTCAGCCCTCCTGGCCCTTTATCACTCTCTTATTTACCCCTATCTCACCTATGGAATTTGTGCAGGGGGCTCAACAACAACTAACCATCTCAGACCACTAATTACCCAACAAAAGGCTGCAGTTAGAATGATAACAAATTCTCACTACAGGCAGCACACTCAACCAATATTCAAAACACTCAACCTACTCACCATACAAAACATCCATACTTATTATTGCACTTATTACATACATAGAACACTTAACTCTGATATTAACCCTCCCCTCAAACATCTCCTTGCCAACCTCAACAGAACACATGACCATAATACAAGGCACAGATCACTCTTTGATGTTCCTCGTGTCCATCTCACGCTATGCAAAAACTCAATGCACATAAAAGGCCCTAAAATCTGGAATTCATTACCTGTAAATATAAAAGAAACACTACCTGTTTATAAATTCAAGTCTCTTCTCAAAGTTCACTTACTCAAAACCAAATAAATACTGAATAACTGAACCATATAAATTGTATATCACAATTATATCACACAAATGTTAAACCTAACTTTGTTATTTTTTAAATACACTACCTAACAGAATACTCCATTCTACTGAATGAAC